GCGTCAAGTCAGCAGTAGTTTCACGTAAATTATATTCACAAACAATAATATCAAGACATCATCTAATATCTATTCTGTCCTTGGACCCTCAACTTGTTAATTATAGCCGCACCACTGAATTAATAAATGTATCTTGGTTTGGCCAGATTAGATAAGTTTTTTCGTTTTCCAATCAATTTTAAAAAAGCGCAAATACAACCCCCTTTCTGTGTTGGTGAATTACTGTAAAGCATGGTGTCATTCTGGCGATGTCTGCCACACAAAGGAAGAAATCTCAGCGGGGATTCATCAGTCGCGTTACAGTAATCGGAGGACTTATTCACACAAATCTAGTCATAGCTCCCAGACAACCCCCCTTCGAATTCCGGTAAGACCAGCTTATAAATTCCTTACCTTCGCCTTTTAAAACGAAATGAGAGGTGCTCCAACACTAAAAAACAAAGATGTCTGAATTTCTCCGTATTTGAGAGGATAACATTAATTTCAACTCCACATTTTATTTTTACTCTTTATGCCGAAGATTTCTTGCTTTTATCTTTTTTATCTCCAGCTCTTCCACAGCCTTCCCATCCGTCTGGTACCAACGTCAACTTACTCCAACCACCTGCGGGCATACATTATCTCTCTTGGGTTCACAATCCAAGTACATTGAATTCTGATGTCAACAAGCTTGTCCGTTTGGCAAAGCGTTTGCCCGATAAGGCAAACATTTTCTACCGGGTACGTCCCAATAGCATCTTGTTTGTCTACTCCATGATTCTGTATGGAAAATATTGTCTAAAATGTGTGGTCGGGATCATTTCCGTCATCCTATCGGGGTGTAACTATGATCAGGACTTATCCACAAGATTTAAAAGCTACTCTTATTTGAGATCCCACACCACTTATTCTGTCACTAGATAAAATTTAATTTTAAGATGGCAAATCGATTACCATAAATGACTATTTATTCCGACTGGATCTCACCAATAATTGGCAGATCCTGAGGTTGCGTTTGCGAATCCCCATCCCAATCTGATAATGCCGGGCTTTTGGCAAGCCACTCAAATTCCTCATTTATTTGAGAGATTACTACCATGCATACTACGGGTAAATTGTAACCCAACAGCCTCAAAATCAGTATAAATATATTTTATATCAAATCATTGGCTCTACTCTATCCAATTTGAGAAAAATCCGATTTTCCCCTGTTACCACATTCACTGGCCCACTGATTATTATTAGGAGTTGCATCGTGTGAGGTCTGCCGCTTTGGCATACGGATGTCCCGAATTGCTCCAGAAAATCCATCAATTAATCCTAGTCCAGTTTGAGCACCAAGCTACTGCAGCGGCCTCCTGCACCACACGACCGCCCACGCAGACATCGAACCCAACGGGGGTACTAGGAGCAAGAATATCGACAGCATCTCTCACTCCTGCATCAAGAACAGGAGCGCGAGCTGTTGAGCCACATCTGGACAATTTGCGACAACTGATGTTGAATACCCGATTTAACGAGTCCTGACGATTGAAATGTCTTCTTCACCTCAATGCTTATATATCAGCATATGTACAGCTTTCTAATTGCTTAACTAGCTAAACTTTGCTAGTACTATATCAAAATATTTTCGGACTGGTTTTATGCAATAAATTTTTTTTAAACTCTGAAGCAAGACGCAATTCAAGCTTTCTCATTGTACCTCATTGCTTAGATGGCTTAACGTGATTAGAGCACTAAATTTTGTTGTCAACAGTAAAATGCCATTAGATTTCATTTAGCATTGCATTCAAAAATGCTTTTATGTCCATGCTTGTCTGCACTATAAACAGGCTCTAAACCAGTGTGTGGAAGGGCGTACGTGAATTTCAATCTGGGCTATTAGATCCTATTTTCTTTAAGAAATCCCTTGCTTTGCATTATGATTGATCAGATGAGCAGGTTTCACCAAGGCCATCAATTTATACTAGCTTAGCCTCCAACACGTCTATCCTGTTTCTACCCATAATATCAAATCTATGATTTACTATGATCTAGTCTCGTGTGCTAACCAACAAATGTTGTTGTTCAACATTGAATCCAATCAAAGCAAGCAGTACCACAACATTTGTGGGTTGGCACACAATAGACTAGAGCATAGTAAATCATAGATTTGATATCATAGATAGAAAAAAGGATAGATGTGGTGGAGGCTAGAGCTAGTTGGCTGACGGTAGGCCTGTGGACCATAGATGTGGTCTATGAAGCATTGACTTGACCATAAGAATTACTCTAGGACTTTAGCCACAGGTTACTCTTCCAGAAGCAGTGCGAAAAATAACGCCTTGTATAGCGGAGATGTGGTTGCAGAGTTCGAGTGAAATACTTGAGCCAGGGAGATAGCAGACGGATCCTACGGGGCAAAAGGGAGACTGATAAGACCTAGGGAAGGACTGCGTAACAATATGACAAACTCTGATCAACATTCCCAGCATAAGAGTAAAGAGTAGTGACAATGCCAGTGTGGAGTTTGAAGGGTTCTCATGAAAGCTGATCAAAAGGGCACACCACATTACATTTAAATAAGCAAGGAAAAATTGTGATAATGAAAGCTTGATGCGAGGGTATACGATTGATGCATATCCCAGGACAGGAAAAATACCACAACCATTTAACACACACAAGTAAAGCCGATCACTTGTCTCTTTGACAGGTTGTAGAATGGTGCGGGCGAAACGACTGGGAATGTACCACATACACCGTGAAACTTTGGGATTTATCATGGATACAATGGAGCAGAATTCCTCTAAGTCTTCCTACCAATATGAGCAAATTGCGATAGAACTCCTATACAACGAATGAAGACTGCGGCCACACAAAAGGCCACACCATCTTGGTCTTCATACCTCCTCAGATATGCTTATTCACTCAGAAGTGACTTTTTTCTATCCGTTCAATCTTCATTATTCGTATTCTTCAATTACTTGAGCATGTAAAAATAAGATCCGAGCGCTACATGATATTTATGGACATTTCCTTCATTACACAAGTAACTATTGTCCGAATTAACTATAAGAGTATAGAGATTGTCCTTTAACATTACTTTAAAAGATTTTCCGGACGATTCTCTCACTTGATTCGTCAACATGTAAAAGTAAGACAATTAGTTCAGGTTAATATTTATTAGACTAATTAGATAAGAGTAGATGCACTCATATGCGTTTTTGAGTGCGAGGCGGTGCCTGGTGGATTTGAAAGTCTACGGAAAGTGCATGCTATGAACTATAATCGGATCAGAAAGGGCCTTTGATGATTTAAGGACAGGAGACAGCACAGCAAGTGAAAATCGATCTAACACTCGTGAATTAAGAGAGGTACATACAAGCATTAATACGAGTATTGCAAGAAAACGGATAAATTACGGACCAGCATCTCAAATTTACAGATTAGCCTATATAAGAGCTGGAAACTGAATGCGCTCAAGCACGGCATTATCGAAAGCGATGAATGCATGAAATAAACGCCTCTGAAAAAAAGTGGTCCAGCCGGTCTGCGGGACACAGGCATCTGGCTCGCTGAGATGAAGTGATATTGATGATGGTGATCAAAACAGAGTAACTAAGGGCCTAATTCAAGCAATTTGATGCATGAACACAATTTATTAATCCGTTCTGTGACGTTTTTGGCATTGATTCGCTATCAAACAGATAAAGCTTACTAAATAAGTTCAGTAGAACACGAGCAAACTGGTTGAAAGATGAAGAAATAATGAGATGATGTTTCACAAAATCGTAGTCTCATTATGGGGGCTAATAAGAGATGAGACAGTCTAATAGATATTCAAGGACTAAGAGAAAGATGCTGATGCGTCTGATTAACGCATTTGCTGTGGAAAAAAATGAAGCAATTTAAATGAGGCAAACAACATTATATACAATGCAAAAAGCAGGGAACATGATGCAAAAGCGGCGCGTTTATACTTGTGAGCCGGTATGTAAGAATAGATTAAATAATGTCGGTTTAAATTAATGAAGTGTTTTTTGGAGTCGTCTCCCGTTTGATGTATTGGGATGGTTATGTTTGGATGATCGACAAATGATATAAGATGAAGGTACAAAAGGCGAACTGGCGGTAAGTGAATTGAGCCTAAGGAAGACAAGGGTTGTAGAAATCAAGTAAAGTGAAGACTAGGTCCAAAGGCATCTGATAATCGCCGTTGGGGCTCAAAAATGCCAAACATGGACGGAGGAGGCTTGGTAAAAAGGAAAATAAGGTGAATACAATAAAGATTGTATTTGTATACTATATTTAGTGTTGGTCATTTATTGATGAATGTGCTCATGCGATAGGTAACAAAAATGCGACGAATGGCCTTTTAGTTGAGGAAAGCCAATCAAACTGAAGCAACCATTCAAGATGAATGAACAGTTGGCCACGTTGATCATGTGAAAGCTGTAAAAGTCAATAATCAAACAAATAAGCTTTAAAAATATATTTTAAAAAAGATTTTCCATAACCCTCACAACTTTTTATTGAAATGTTCTACTCAGTTTGAGAGTAAAAGAATGTTTATAATTTAGAAATTGACGTTTTATTGAAAATATTTGTAACGAGGTAGAGGATTTACCCATGAGTTAACAGGCTCCAGGCAGCTCGGCGGGCTCGTGAAAACAACAGCAAAACTACAGAAAATACCTAGGAGATACAAGCAGTACAGACTAGAATTGAAAATGTGCGAAGCCGACCAAATCGTATGAACGAAAAATTAGATTAAAAGTAGGGAGGATTGTGGTAGACAACTATTCATGGCTTTGTGTTTGAGGAATCTCGTAAAAGTAGTTTCACACTCAGACATTGCAGACGAAATCTCACATGTATTCTTCGGAGTCACAAAAAAGTATGCTGAGGACACAAGAATTAAACAGTCTAACTCTGAGGTAACGATTCCAACCACGCTAGGAGATGAGAGGACCAATGACACGCTGTGAAATTACTCCGTTATTGTACGTGTGAACGTATTTATAAATACCAACGATGGTTTAATGGTTAAAGCGGTAATAGAGTTTGGTTCGTAACCT